ACAAGAGTTATACAAGTTGAGAAGTACAAGTCATAAATATAATATAAACAGACAACAATTTCTCGAAGACTTGACATATTATATAATGACATAAAATTGTTTAAATTTCTTAAAATTGATAATGTTTAAATTTCTTAAAATTGACATAAATAAATAAATAAATAAAAATTTATAACTAGATAGTGGGCGTAATGAAAGATATCAAAAATTTTATTGATTTTACAATTCTAGGAATGAGTGAGAGTGATAAGAAGAAAAAAGAAAAAATAAAAGGGAAAAAGGAAGAAGGTTTTTAACGTTCTTGAACGTTCGTTGGTTGACGTAAAGATGCATAACATATACAATAATCGCGCATGAGAAGTTTCGCGGTAAATCGTCGAATTAGATGGGCCGGATAGCGATCGTGCATTTCTCTCGCGTTACAGTACTATCGCGCGTTTTCTATGTTCACCGCACGTGTGCGTGCTTCAAAGCACACGGTGTGGGCTTCTCACGGAAGAAAACGGAAAGAGAGAATGACTCTTGGCTTCGGGTCAGCGCGTGGCACAGTCATTGCACCCACCGCCGCCGCCGCTGCTGCCGTCGCCAATATTATCATCACATTTTCCCTCATCCTTACTTCTGCAAACGACGCGGTGCCTCGTGGCTCGACTATTATACGACAAAAAAATCGCTTTTTCCCAAGAAAAAGAGAATATTTCTTGATAGTTTTCTCGTGTTTCACGTAAGTCCAATCTATCAAGTGTCCCATCAAGTCACAATTTTGAGAAATTTGAGTTTAAAATTGTTGTAAAAAAATACTTTTTTTATTTTTCACCTATATCATATAGCATATATCATATATTACAGCTATATTCTATAGTACATGTACATTATAAATGTTTCAGTTCTTAGAAGAAATTCATTGTAAATTAAGATCAACGTTAAGATTTTCATTGCAGTCAATCAAGTATCAAATCAAGTATCAAATGTCAGGCTGATCACAAAGCTCTAAATTATTTGATTGTTGACATTACGGGCTGCTAATTTATATCATTTTACAATCATCGATTTAATAATCTTAAAATCTCAAGGGATTCTCAAAGTTTCTGAGAAACTTACTTAAATAAGATCCGATATTTGAGAATAGAATTCAATGAGCTTTGTCAAATCCGAACAATCCACAAACCTCTACAAAAGGTATAATCATACGATCAATTTATAATAAAATTTCGTAAACTTTGATTCACACACATTGAACGTTGCCCAATTTTAGATTCAAATTTACTTGAATTGTTCCAAAATTCAAAGGTTACAAATGCTCGTTGAAAACAATACATGGGACACTCACCTAACATCACCTCCGCCTTGCCGCTTCGGCGTGGCTTGAATGACCAAAGTCCAATCATGTAACACTTCTAAATCGACGATTTACGAGTAATAATATGAAGATATAACCATGAGAAGATTTTTATCCAAACCACAACCGATACTTTAACAGTTCTATGTTAATGACACATATAATAGAAAAAAACTGTGCCATTCACATTAAATTGTCACAAAAATACACCTTTTTATAAAGCAAGTTTTTCAGTTCTTCATATCAAACATTATTATTTTTCATTCATTTAATTTTATAAATACAACCATCATTATGCTTCATTTCGTTTCAATTATTGTCGATAATAGTAACTATACTTCGTATAATTATATATAATTAATAGTTATATATAATGTTTAGATAACGTATTTATTAATAAATTGTTTTTATGAAATTATAATAGTAAGATGTTTATTATGTGTGAAGAATCTATTAAAAAACATTCGTAAATGAAATATTTATGAAGATACACAAGATACACAAAATGTCTATTATAAAGTTTATATTATTCGGAATTGAAGTCGCATATAAAGTAATAAGCACAAAAAAACGATTACATTGATAGACTGATTTTCCTGATGATATCGCGAATAAATGTTGTTTCACGTTGATTTTCTCAATGGTACCAATATATTTATAATCGATTAGTGAAAAATATCTCCATAAAATATAAAATTCTGGGAATAACACAAAACTTCGGCACACGTAATTAAAATGTAAAATTACAATTGCAATAAATCTATTGCAATTTGTACACAGCTTTCACCTTTTAGTTCACGCAGCAAATGCTACTGTCACATTGTAATACGAAAGATTTGTAAACATTACAGACGCAGTTAACTCAATAATCACTAAACAAAAACTATATAAACAAAAATAACTCGGCATACATACTTGACTAACAATCTTGAATTAAAAAATAACTATAGATCTTTATATTACACTCTAAAACTTTGATTGTAAATAAATATATTTTCGTTTCTTTCATTCACTGTGTAAATAAATATATTTTCGTTTCTCTCATTCATGATCCTTCGTTGACAAAATCAATTAATTAAAATTTTAATTAATTTTTTACAGAAAAATAATACAATTAAAACGAAACATTTTTCAAAACAATTGAATTTTATTCGTGTTAATTATATGTATAACATATCACTTTATAATAAATTTTTTACGCGGCATATTATTTTTTGCTGAACGAATTGTTCTTTATTAATATGTAAATTCTAATTCGAATAAGAGAGAGAGAGAGAAAGAGAGAGAGAGAGAGAGAGAGAGAGAGAGAGAGAAAGAGAGAATCATAATGTGCGTTCGAACTTAACAAGATTAAAGATAACGTAATTATAAATAAGTAACGAGTTTCGCGCTATTGGGGATTAATCATATTTTTAATTTATATCTATATGCGAATTAATATATGTTTAAAGACTCCGTTTAAAATTGCAATTAAATTTTTTAAAGCTGCGAAAATCTGCATTGTTAAAAACATTCGATAAATCGCGTACTTTATGAGAAAATTATTTGCTGTATTTTTTATTTTATCTTAAGCATCATAAATCAATAAACGCAACTTTATAAATGCAAATGAAAAATGTTAATTGTTCGCACATAATTATTCACATATCATGAAACAGCTATAAGCGAAAGCGAAAGCGTAACACTTTTAATGTCTGTGACGCACAAAACGATACTCTACGCGGCTCGCCTGTTAAAACAACACTGATGTGTAACTTCTTGTTACTTTCTGTCCCGTATACAGGTATATAGAAACAAGAATAAAGTGCACGTGAGACCAGCGCAAGCGTGTTAACAAGTATCCCTTGCACTATACGAAACTACGCTTCATTTATTCTCTATGAAATTATTTATCAACTTCCGCATTAAATCGGGAGGGATTCATGCGATAGTTAATTTTTAATGGAAAATAGGGACAAGGAAAAACGCTGAAGGAAGATGTATCCTTATAATTAGCATTGGATAGTGTTATAAATATACATATAGAAGCATTCATGCAAGTGTTTTAACTTCCTACTAAGAGAAAGAAAATAAAAATTTTTTTTTTGCGTAATCAACAGGTAATAATTATTCTTCTTTTACTAGATTCTTTCTAAATTACTAATCTACGATTATTGATTCGTTATTTTTCTTAGTTTTTTATATGTATGGTTATAGAGACACTTCTTGAATAATATTCTACATATTATATGTTTTCATGAATTTGTAAAATTTCTAATATTATATATTATATAATATTACATATTATAATTACAAGATAAATCAAAGCTTTTCTCTCTGCTAATTAATTACAAACAAACAAAGACATACATATGTTTACATTAAATCGTGATTAACCGTACCTCAAAGACATTGCTAAATAATAATTTGTAATATCAATATTTTGATTATCGAAGAAAGATTTATAAATTTAACAATTAACCTGACTGATTTTGAAATCAGTCATATTGATCTTTATATGGTTGAGCAAGTTTTTAATCAATAATATATGATTTTTACAATATTGTTAAATTTCGTTTTTGCAATTGCAATTAATTAAATTCTTTTCTTAATTTTATAAGAATTTAACAAAAAATATTATCCTATTACTTAATGTGTAAATGTGTCTTTGGATAAGTTACGATCTCATAAATGTTTTTCATAAGAAAATGTTTGAATAAAACTTTGTAAAATAGGAAAAAAATTATACATCATTTATAAAAATTTAGTCATTAAATGTAAAGTATGCGTTAGACTTTGGACTGACCTTCAAGATATTTTATCTTAAATAATTTAAAAGTTAAAATTTCTTTAAAAATATAATTTCGAAAAATTCTAAATTAAAAAATTTAATATTATATTTCTAAAAAGAAGATAAGCGGATTCAATTTAAACTGTTTTAATAAGCCACTGACTGTTTGTATATAATTATATGATTGTATATAATTGTATGGAATTATATTAATTTAAGGATATTTTATATCCATATACATATTTTTATATATACATATTTAAAATGATAATCAAATTATGAAAAAAATTACAGATTATTCTAAATTACGTTCAAAAATAATACGACAAATTTGGTAATGGTTTATCTGGCTATCTAGATCATAAGTTATTTTAATAAATAGTATTTTTTAAATCTATGTTCTATAATAAAAATATATGGAAATGTATTATAAAATAAATGATAAAAATCTCAATTTTTAATATAAGTACATTATTTAAGATATGTAATTCAAGATTATTTACATTTGCGATGCATGAACTAATTGTCTAATAAATAAACAAAATTTATTTGTTCTATATATTTAACTAATCAATGAATTGCAATAAAGCTTTGCATAAATTATTTTGAGTATTTGACTTCTAAAAGAAAAATGTAAATTTTACCATTTTTAAAATTTTAATTTTTAACAATAAAAATAATAACAAATAAAATAAATAATTTATAAA